ATAGGGGAGGAAAATGACAATATTGTCGACTTATTTATTTCAAAAACAATTAGCACTAGAAAATTGAAATTTGTTTTGTGGATGGCACTGATCAAATTGAGTGTAGTGGGTGTTCAAATAGCTATACAATAATACTTCACTTGAAATATTATAGTATGCGTTTTTATCCCATCAATAATAAAAATTATTTTTAGTAATAACGTTATAATATGCAATTTTGGAACTTTTTTGTCTATGCACATTTCTTTCCACATGAACGGTTTAAAAGGATAAAAATAAAATATTAGATTACCATTAAAACTGCACTATAAAGCACAATGTTATCGATTTATTCCAAAAATCGTTTGCGGTTCAATTTTTTATTGGGGATATTATTGGGTGTTTTGAACATTTGATTTCACTTGCAATATTTTTTTAACTTCTGACTAATTTTATAATTAAAAATGTCTAATGTATGTATAAAGCCTAATTTGCATTTACGAGTAAATTGTATATGGGTGCTTGTATAGGAGTACGAGTTTATTTGCATTTAAATTTTGAATCATATGGTATTAAAGTAGGCAAAGATAGCGCTGAAACATAGTGGAACTAATATAATCCAATTAAAATTTAAAACATCTAAAAGCGTTTTATAATCAAAATAATCATTATTAAACATTACTAATAGTTCAGTCATGAGGCTTAAACGTCAATGTTAGTGGTGAGTAGTAACTGTAAGTTATATTGTTAATGGCTATAGCTGTTCTTTGAATCGATTCATTAAAAAAATTTATATTAACTCATTTTCATTCAAATAGAAACCCATTTTTTATTTAACAAAACGTTTTTTATTCTTCATTTTTTGACATAATGTTTCTATACCTCAACTAACCAATTTTTAAGTTATTTATGACCAAGTTTATTAAACAGATTGCCTCGTAACTTGACATTAGTCGCCACATTGCGCGTCAGCATATATTAAGTGTATTATACGACAGTTTGTGGTCACACTGTATTTTTTTGAATTTTAGTGTATGTACTTAAAGTCTTATACTTAACTAAATATTTTTTTTAAATCATTTATCAAATCGTCCTTTGAAATAGAGATCGTTCCCATCTATAATGTTCAGTATTGTTTTTGCTGAGTGATGTATACGTATAATAAAAATTAAAAATAAAAATATTTTTATTATGTTTCTATATCAGCAGTTAAATGGCAAAAATCCTTATATAATTGTATTATATACCTATACTGCAAAAAAAATGTTTTTCATTTTATAATTTGGCTTGCCGGAAAAAAACCTTTTTACTATCAATAGTTGCGCCTCGGTGGTACGAAAGTACTACCGTTGCACGCAGGCCGCTCTCTCCCGTGCGGGACTTAATATCTAACCGCTACTTTTCGACGAAAGTAGGAATTAGGTACTCTGCGCTGTGTTTGTCATTTTGTGATATCGACCCAAGCTGACCTGATGATGGAGTAGGGCTCCGAAACCGGTAGTGAGAGCAGGTTGATCCACATTATGACAAACACAGTGTGGAATTAAATTTCTATATCAGCAGTTAAATGGCAAGAATTCTTATATAATTTTATTATAAAAATTATTTTGACTAGGTTTTGATATTTTTACATGGTAAAAAGCTGAAACTATTTTTGTTCAGAAAAAATGAGAATGAGTTTTTTTAAATGTTAAATTTCAGCTAAATTAGAGAAAAATAATAAAATATTATTGAAGAACAATTTAACTTGTGTAATTATTATTATTATTAAACCTTTGTTAATGGTTATTTTACATATCCCACTAGCTGACGTAATGGCGCCAACTACTGTGAATGGTGCAAAGTTACGAGACAACCTGTTTAATAACTTTGAGTTAAGACTTAAAGCGTGTTTTTCGTCTATTTTAACTAGTTACCTTTGGCATACATTTGGATAGTTGACATTTAATGAATTCTACACTCTCAATGCTACTATCAACAATACTTTTTACTTTTGTAAAGAGTGTACAGTAGACAAACGAAATTGTTATACAAAACATGTATTATTCAATTTACAAGTAGAATGCTAAGATGCAATAATGATGTTCCATAAAAAAGCGATTATAGTTACGAGTAGATCTGACAGAAAACCACATAACCAACCAAGGTTTTTTACTGTAAGCGATTTTCGTGACCGTGACTAACCCTATATTGGATATTTGAATTTCTATTAACATGCTTAACGCGCGCGCGTGCATTATGATTATTTAACATTGCTAACGGACTTTGTTGACCATTATCAATCGCCAACCCGAGGCATTACCTGAATAATTTGTCCCTCTGGTTTTTAGACTCGTTCTGTCATTCACTATTTATTCAGAAAATAATTGACATAGCACCCTGTTTCATTGATAGCTCTGGGTTTGTGCGATGACTCTTTTTAACGATGAAATTACATACAGCCCAATTAGCAATTTTGAACACATTTTAGGTAATATTTGTAATAATCGTGTCTGTTTCTTGACACAAAATGGGAACGGTATGCCACAAAGAGGAAACATTTTCGATACCAATATATTTTATATGGCTTTACTACATGTGTTTCCAAGAAGGTGGCACTAGCCGTTTCCTGAAATGTTTCGATGTGGAACTGCAATTTGTGTCCAAGATGTTCCCGTCTTCAGCAGCAACTGTTTCTAAATGTGAAGAAACAAAATACCAAACTAAAATAGTCTATGTCTACGTGTGGATTTCAAAATGAAAACAGCCATTAACAATGTCGACCTCCACCATAATTTTTTTGTCTTAAAATCTTTGTTTTTTAGGTTTTCTCTCACAAAAAATGTCTGGCAAAAACAAATACATAGTTTAATTTATTAATGTACTTTAATGTTTTTAATGCCTCTTCTATATATCAGTATTTGTTGCTACAAAATATTTTTGTTTGAAATAAAAAAAAATATTTTTATTTCTATATCATGGTTTTGTAAATAGAGATATATAAATCAATGTAAGTAGAACGCGTTCTTATGAATTTAAAAGCTCAACAGCCGATAAAAACATATATTTTTAGTTAAAAACTCTATCACTAGCCAACATGGCGGAATTTTAATTAATTATTTTATAAAATTGACATGGAGTAGGACACAAATCATCGACATTATCATATTTGTATCTAAAAAGAGAGAAACTCGTGTTTCGAAAATGAATCGACAATTAATGGAAACCTTGATTCTAAAATGTTTCGATTTAGCGCTATCTGTGTAAAAATTTCGAACTAGTCACCTGTCAACAACGCCAATGAAAACTTCTGATCAAAATAATTAAAACATTTTTATTTACTTGTTATAACGCAATTAAAACATAAAAACATGTATTCCATTGTGAAAAAATGATAAAAAAAACGTTTGCTGGTAACATTTGTCCACTATATGTCCTTCCTTCTACTTTTTTAATTATAATACTATAAAAACTTGAAGAATGCTTAAATGCAAAAACTGCAGAACAAAATCCAAACAATAATGTAAGGTTATGTTATCATATTTGACCAATGACTAAAGAATATAAGGACATGTAACGCCCATATACAGGCTGCAGCAGAATTTGTGACCTTAGACGCCATTCTTTTGATGGCTAACAATGCGTCATCAGCTGGTCACCAGCGACAATTTTAGCGATTTTTAATAGTTTGTGTGTAGTGAACTTTGTATAAACTTTATTGCAATGGTGATTAGTTGTTCAGCTTTCAAGTATAAAAGCAGCAGCGATAAGAAAGAGCCAGGAGTTACGTTTCATAGGTAAATAAACAGTCCGCTCCACCTTTTTAGTGTTTTCTTATTGAATTTGATAATTATTTTTCCGATATTATAGGTACTTGATGTGTGCTATACGTCGATACTAGTTTTGTACCTTTTGTTAACATTTTAATACGTTTTTTTCGTAATTAATTTGTATGATACCACCGTATACACCATAGGCGTAGTCAAAACATTTATCAAAAAATATAAATATCTCTTCAAACAGCTAGGTTAAGAAAAATATGTGCCACGGCACTGTTTGGTGACATGGTCACAATTTGCTCTCAGGTGCTATTTGTCCTTGGATTCTTTAGTCATTGTATTTGACAGAATACCAAATAAATTATGGGAAATTTTCGATACAAAACGGGTACGAAATCTGTAAATGCGAGTCACAACTGTTTCTTAAGTTTCGAAAAATTTGTAACGCTAAGATCTTTATTGTTATAGCTTACGTAACGAAACCATATTTTGGAAAATGTTTCCAAACAAAACGCGATTTATGTTACGAAACATATGTATTAAAAATGTGACGAAACTGTTTCGCAATGTTTCTCAGCAGAGATTTTGTTTCGATTTTGTGTCTAAAAATGCTACTTGGGAGATATTCGCCAACGTAGTTATAATAATACATCTGATGAGTTATTGCTCTTAAATTTTATTAGATATCTTAATAAACCAAACTGTGAGGTTGATACTAACTGAAAATTATATTTATACTGTACATATAACTTAATGAAATGGCAGAATAGTGTAAAATCATGTAATGTGTTGTAACAGAGTGAAACAAAAAAGTATAGATATAACATGTTTCACCAAAAGCAATAAACATCATGAATAAGAGTAATATAATAATAAAGCTAACAATATGAGTTTAAAAAATAAACAAATGGGCAATTTACAGAATAAAAAATATCAATTATCTATTCTCACAGTGCTATAACTCTTACAACGCATTTTTTTGGTTTTCTTCGCATATTTAAAGTTTCTAGATATCTAGAGTACTTCAATTACCTTCGTTTTGATTCAGTTTAGGGGCGCGTAATATAAAAATATAACAGTATAATTCCTAAACATCAAACAAAATATATTTTCAACAATGGTAATAAGTCACAATTTACATAAAACATATAATACAATGTTATTTTTGTTTTTATTATCAATTATATTTTGCGTTATTAATACACGTGAGCTAATCTTGCTATTAGGGGTGGCAATGAAAAAAGTTTTTTCCTTTTTTCGCAGATTGATACCCCGAACAAGACAGTCAGAACGAGTGAGACGACGCATTCTGAATAATAGAAATGAGAGATACCAGCTACAAAATTCTATGGAAGAAAGAGCTTCTACATCAACAGAACAACTAGCTGGAAACATTGTATCTAGTTCAACTGGCCTAAACAGGAAAAAGAAGCGACAAAAAAAGAAAAGAAGGAAATCAAAGAAACCTCGATATCAGACGGTGTATGTGTTAGATAGTTTGACTGGTGAGGCAGTGCCAGTTAAAAAGTTGGTGAAACGTAAATCTCGAAAAAGAAGAAATAAAAGAAAGTCATTACCATCAGTTGAACTTCTGAAGAACACTGTCAAAAAACGTTTATCAGCACAGTTAGGCATATGTGTTCCTAAGAATGTTCCACAGTTTTTACCTGATGTTAAGATTGCAAATGAGGGTCATAACAGTATCAGACATAATCGTCATGTTGTTGGCATTCCAAATGTAGATTTGTTTGGTACTCAAAATAGGCTCGATAATTATTATTCACATTCAGACGATGAAGATATTTTTTATAGAGGTAGTGGTGGGGAAGTTTCTACATTATCGGCCAGAAGAGTTCCGAACGCCAGCGATGCCATGGCACTCCGACGAAACCTTCGTAGAAAAACAGTCATAAATGTCCCAACAGTCTCTAGTTCTACAGATGTATTGGGCAGTATTATGCAGTCACAAGAAAAAATGCTATCACGGAATTCAATTATGACTGTAGACTCAGCAGGAAAATTAAAAATTGAAAATAAGGGTGGTAGTATTTTAAATAACAATACATTTACCAAGCCAAACTTTAATTCATATGTAGTAAAAAAGACACCATATGGGAATAGCACTAATACTGGAGGAGGAGGAGGATATTCTTCAAACCAAGATTGGTCAAATTCAAGAATGTATCACTCTGTAAATTCCCAAGACACTTACTATGGTGCCTCAAGTTCTAATTATAATCAAGCCAGCAACGTTTCAGGTACTGACAGAATTAATTCTGATGATCAAACAAATGATGTACCACAAGATTATACTCAAAGGACTTTATGTGAGGCAGAGTTACTTCAAGAAGCCGAGGAAAAAGGAAAAAATACACCAGATGGTAGTACACCTATAAGCGAATCAGAACTAGATATTTATAGTGATATAGAAAACGAAACTGTATCTACTAGTAAAGTAGATGATGACTTTAAACCTCCATCTCCTCCTAATTCCCCAATATTTCAAACCTCTCATATGCAGAGTAAAACTCCTAATACGGATGAAGATAATGATTCAGAGTCAGGTATGGTTATTGATACCGAAAAAGTCTCGGAAGAAATTAAAGAACCTGTTACATCAACGGTAGAATATTCTGAACAGTTATATAGCCCTGAACAACCCACTTCAAGTCCTGGATATATTACTTATAGTCCTGGTGAGCCAACCGATAGTCCCACACAGAGTCTGAATCAATCTACTAATGAAGAGCCACCTGATGATACAGAAATACAGTCAGAGACTGTTCAGTCCACAGAACAAACTGATATTAATAGCGAGCTAACTGAAAATAAACCACAATTAGAGAAACCAGATGATGATGAAGATTCTAATGATGGTTGCCCCAATTTTAGTATTTATTCTCGAACAAGTAAAACTGTTGCATTAACTACAGATATAACACTAGCGCCATCTACTACAGATATAACAGCACCAAATAGCACAAACGAGAATATTATTCAAAGTAGTATTACTTCTGCGAATGAGAGTGTTACGCAACCTTTTGTAACCGATTCTACCGTCAATGACGAATCAAAATCAACTATTAAAGAGAGCATGGAGAGTCATTTACCTCTCAATAGTAATGTTTCATTAGAGAAAGCTGTATTCAGTGCAGCTTTCAGCAGTATTGGTGTGTTATATAGCGATTCTGAAGATGAAAGTGTAGTTAAAAAGAATGGTTCCTTTGCAATTTCTGATATTAAAGATATGACGGAAGATATTCTAAGCGAGGAAGAACGAAGTTATACGCCCTTATTAGATGAGAAAACAGAAAAACCTAAAGAAGGTCTAGAAGGGCTTGATACGGAATTAATCTCTGATGAGGATCGCAACGATTTTGACGAATCGCATGATCTTAAAACGATTTCTGATGGTGATGCTTTAGAAATTAATGCTAAGGAATCTGAATTGGACTTAAGACCAGAGGATTTTGAAGAAGGTGAAATTGTCGATAAGAACAAAGAAAAGGTATCTATACCAACAACTAGTTCAGATCCAGATCAAAATAAAGAAATAGATGAGGACGAGGGAAAAAATATAGATGATGATAAAAAAGAGGAATCAGTTTCAAAAAAGAAAAAAAAGAACCCAATTAAAGATGTGAATGATTTAAAAGATAAGAATAGTAATAAGGAGAATGAAAATAAGCGGTCGTCATTTAAAAAGCTTAGTAGGACTAACAAAGACAGAAACTATAGAGATACTTATAAAAGCAGAAGTAAATCTAAGGATCGCGAACTTACTGAGTTTCGTAACAAAAGCCCAGACAAGAATGCAAGAAAGGAAACTAAAAGAAAGAAAGAAAAGCGTAGAGAATTGGAAAGATATAATGTACGAGCTTTAATAGCAGATAAACCACGACCTCCACCAAAAGATCAGTTTGGCCGAGATTTACGTCACACTGTTTCGCGATCGCGCAGTCGCTCAAAATCTTATACACCCCCTATTGTTCATAGATCCCAATCTCCCTCTATTAATGAGATTCGTAGATCGTCCTCCAAAAGAAATTCTAGATCTACATCTAGAAAGAAATCAGTTTCAAAGGAACGCACACACAGATCGGTGTCTAGAGACCGCACTTTATCAAATTCTAAAGATAAAACTCATAAAAGAAAAGCGAGATCGCGCAACCGTAAATCAGAAAGTCGTTTGCGATCTAACTCAGGAAGACGACGGACGGACAGATCAAAATATAAAAAGAGAAAACGTTCGAGAAGTAAAACAAGAAAACGTAATAAATCTAAGGAGAGATACAGAACAAAGAGTAAGAAGAGGTTGCAAAGAAGCAAAAGCCGAAGTAATAGCAGAATAAGGTCTCGTTCACGTTCGTTGTCTACAAAACGAAGACGCCACGATTGGACACCTTCATTTTCAAGATCGCCTAGTTTACCAATACGACATATATCGCCTTCTTGGACGCCCCCTAGAGTTGATAATACCCAAGCACTTCGAAATCAGAATTTGACTGTAATTCTTAACAACAAAAACAACAATGCAGCTAAAAAACGAAAAAAAGACAAGCGTTCTAAAGAAAAGAAAGGTGCGACTTCCAAAAAAAGACGGAGGGATCGCGAACGTACCCCACCACCTTCTAAAGAGGTTTTTGCTTCTGGTGATAACATCCTAGTAAGCGTTAGTTTTAATAGCGAAAATGAAACCAGAGATGTGACAACTAGGGAAAGAAGACGAAAGGAGATTATATCAGAAGATCCAAAGAAAAATAAGGATAGAAGGGTACGAAATAAAAGAGATCTAACTGGTGTTAAACCCGTAGCAATTATTGATTTAGAAAGGTCACCATTTCAAGAAATTCTTGAGTCTCCTAAAGATATTATAGTATTAAGCGACAGTGATAATAACGAAACTGATAACAGGAATATTCAGAATATTTGCGATTCTTCTCAGCAAGTGGCAAGCCCAGAAAGAACTCCAACGTATAGCATGGGTCCAAAAACACCTCCTGAACCAAGTGTTAAGTTTTCTTTATTAGCAAAACCTCCTCAACTACGTGCAATTAGTAATCCTCTTCATGAACCTGATGAAGCAATAGAAGAGGATATGCAACCTGAAATGAGTAGTACAACTCACAAGGGTCCAAATACTCCTCCGGAGGAACCTCCCACCTCTCCTCCTAGTTCACCAGATGCATACGATCCTTATGAACCTACAAAAAGTAGATCACCCACACCAGAGCCTCTACAGCTACCCAATTGTTCTGGAAACGAGCAGTCTCTTCAAGAGAGCCTGGATAATAAAACTAACACAGATAATATTCTAGAAAAGACCGGGCAAACTCCAGATGTATTAAAATCTTTAACACCTCCTATTGCAGATATACAACCAGCTGATTCACAAAGTAGTATTCAAGAAATATCCGATTCAAAATCACCTGATCAGCAACAAAGGATAGGCGTTGTTATTAATCAGACTATTCAGCCAGCCAATAGTAAACCTGTTGCACAAACTATTCCATTTAGTTCAGTGCCAACTTCAATTGTAACCTCAACTCCTGTTTCAACTAGTCTGTCAACATCTAGAATAAATTTCTTAAGTTCAACGGTAATTACTCTGCAATCCAATATACCTCAAAGAATAGTATTACCAAACCAAGTTAAATCGAGTCCGGTAAAAATTTCTCCTACAAAAGCAGCTGTTAAGTCAACTCCTATCAAGCCAATGCAATTGAAGAGTATTAACAAATCCAAGAAAAACACTAGAAATCAAAACGGAACCAATTTAGAGGACGTGAATCTTGATTTTGATTCTCCGTATTCACCGGGCTCCAGTGATTATGACGATCTGTTTGAACCGCCTAGTGACCCACCTATTGCTGCTGTAAAGGCGAAGTCAATATCAAAACCAAAAAGTAACAGTTCCCAGAAGCATCAGTCTACATTTGATACCTTATTTGGTTCACCAAATTATAATAAAAAAAAGAACACTGAAAAAAGAATTCATGGTAGCAAGAAAAATGTTTTACCCACCAAAACAAAACAAATCGGTGTTAAAATAGATGAAGACAGTCTTAAAATTTTAGAGGACTTGCCAAATTCAGCAGTTGAAATGCAGGTAAAAGATAAGGTTAGTATATAAGTACCCCTCTTTCCAAAGTTAGAATTAATTGAACTTTGGATGTATTGTTTATATAATTCTTGATTTAGTACACACGCCCTTTCCATCTTTTGAATTGCTTCTTTTTAATATTCTTCAATAAAACATTAAAAGTATAGTCTGTCCAACGAGAGTATCCATGACAGCGACAGTTGGGTCAAACATCTTAATTCACAGGTATTTTCTCTCATTATTTACATGTCGTAATCTTCCCCGGTTTGTTGGACAGACTTTAGTTACAAAAACATCTATACCGGGTGCATCTCAAAAATGACTCACCCCTATAACTTTTTTATTTTTTTAGATAAAAAAACGAGATGTGGTATGCTAGTATATGACATAAATTAGGATTGATTGACGTATTCAATTGTTTTTGGTAATTGGCTGTTTTACCGGAAATGACTACAATTTTTGATATTTAAGTGGCACTCTCGGTATATTTATTCGATAGAAAAAAACACTCTAAATAGAATGACATATCATGTATCAACTTTTGACATTTTCGCTTAAAAACAAATTGTATTTTAAATTTCAATCTAGAGTACCATGGCTGTGTTAAAAACAATAATTTTTAATCAAAGAGCCTTGGAAAAATAGTTTTGATCGTCTAATGTTTTTCGCGTCTTGTTCTGGCCGGTTAAAAGATGCCCAAATCGTAATTTTAATCATAACTCAATTTTTTCAAATGGAATAAGTGCTCATTAGCATATTTGGAAAAAGCAATTTTCAAATAAACCATATGCGAAATTGTCAAAAGTTGACATATGATATGTCATTCTATTCAGAGTATCATTTTCTATCGAATAAACTAGAAATATACCGAGGGTGCCATTTAAAAATCAAAAGTTGTAGTCGTGAAACAGGAAGTGACCAAAAACAATTAAATACGTCAATCAATCCTAATTTATGTCATATACTAACATACCAAATCTCGTTTTTTTTCTGATAAAATAAAAAAGTAATAGGGGTGAGCCACTTTTGAGACGCACCCGGTATAATGTAACAGTTATAATTTATAAGGCTTATTATGAGTTTACATTTATTATATAGAAAATCGATCTTCTATATAATAAATACTAGTATATACCATACGATCGAAAATAGAAACGTCAAAGACGGCTGAGGAATGACAATTGATGATAATTTTGGCGAGGTCAAGCCCTAGATATTTTTAAAGCGCTTCCTGTCAGTTGACGTTAATAAGGTTGTATTTTATTTTTATATTGAGTAAAAATGTCTTTTAAATGGTGAGTAAAAATGATTTTTAATTTGAAAAAAAAATAATGTTTTAAAAATATATTTCTGTGTTAATCTTTCTATAATTAGTGTTAATTTTCGACAAGTTTTATATAAATTTTTAGTAAATGACGTCTATAGATTGACCTTGTCAAAATTATCGTCGACTATCATTCTCCAGCCATCTTTGACGCTTTTTTTATCATATGGTAGTAAGTAGAAAGTTATACTGATTTGTACGCTGGATACTCGATTCAGGGTTCCCTACCCGTAAGCAGTAACATTAAGATGTAAGAAATACACCTAAACTTTAACAATCAAAAAATGACCCAGTTCATATACAATATGATCGAAAAAATCCTTAAATTTGGCTTAGAAATAACCATTACAATCATTTTTTGTGTATAATTATATGGCAAATGTCATCGATTGTCATACCCAAACATAAAGCATTTTTTTAAATAAAAAGCCAACCATTCGTAATTATTTATGGTACGTCTTATTTAAAAGTGTGCTGTCAGGCAGTTTCGGTTGTGCTCGGTAACCTTTTCTACATTAGTATGACTTCTGTCACAGTAATGCGATCGTGCATGTTCATTTTAGTTAAATAATAATTGTATCAGTATAAATTAACAAATATATAGTTTTATTTTCCAAGCGTCACAACCGAATAAAATGGTTACATCAACTAATAGCTTACATTGCATCTTAATGTTACGGCTTTCGAAAAGGCGTCGTATGGTTACGGAGTACCGAACTTAGCTTTAAATATATCCAAAGAGTAGAGAACACGAAGAGAAAAAAGCCAGTAGAATTCCTCTCATCTTTAGTTATTTATTATGACCATACCCTTTTAAATTGGAATTAGCAGTGTTGCCGTCTGTTCCATTATTTCCAGAATAGCATTCTAGTAAAATATATTATCAAAATAGTTTTGAGAATCTCGTAACATTAAATGCCAATCTGATGTTCGTCTTTTACGAATAAATACGTGTTACTCAGTGCTTATTAAAACGTTTTTTTCTTCGTTTTTTTTCTAGTTAAATTTCTTCTAAATTTGTTTTTTCTGACTGGTACCTCTGTATTTTCTATTCTTTGGTACCGCTACACTACTAGTACTCTATATAATCAGTAGAAAGTTATATACTGTCATTGTCAAAAACATTGTAGTAGCCCTGTAGTATTATGACAAATAGTATTGATGACACCGACTGTAGGCATGTTCGGTCCTCCGGTATACCACTATTTTTAAAATATTCCGATACCGGTCTTCTCTCTTTGAAATCCAGTATACCTGTATTGGCACCGGTACTAGAAGACCGGTTCAAAATGCTACTGAATAACCGGTTTCAAAAGAGGAAGACCGCTCTAAAGCGGTATGGAAATCCAAAAAAGTTTCAAATGACTCTGGTACGCAAACCTGATTTTATTTGCTCCAACTTTAATATACTATATTATGTTTGTATTTGTATAAAACACTAGTTTAGCATTTTTATTTTATTCTTATTGATAACGACAACGCTTCTTAATTGTAAAATTTGTCGTATGGCGCATTTTGGTCCTACCGTTCTAATTATTGTTGGCATCGGTATACCGGTTGTAGGGCCGAACACCGGTAGTGAAATCTTAGGACCGAACATCTCCCTAACCCACTGTCCAAGAATGACACTCATGTATATGTTGTTATTCATTACGTAATTGATATCTAAAATCTCACATTTTAACCATTAAATTTGTCAAAATAATGAAATAATTATAAGTAATAATTCTTTAACCCGTTATGTAAAAATAAACTTAATTTTTAAAGAACAGTTTTAGAGTCACTGATTATAATGCCAATCAACATTTTTGATGTGGTTGTTTCGAAAAATAATTAGTATTTCCTAAATGAATAATCACAAAATGTAAGTACTTACAGTGTTGTATTAAAATCCTTCAGTCAATATTTGATTTGTTAACGTGCACGGTGGGATATTAATACCCTGAAATAATAGATATAAAGAAGTGTTAACTCAATGTTAAATCGCGGAAACAGGAACGCCTTGGTGGTCGTCAGGAGAACTAATTCTCTGATCGACAAGTTGACATTCAAAAAAAAGCCGGCTTCATTTTTATTTCCGTTTCAGGTTTTTCAATGGTGGGCCTTTTTTCAGGATAAACATATTTCATATTTTTTCTAATCGTAAATGAAACAAAACAGAGTGTTATTCAAAATATTTAATGTGTTAAAATTAGTGAGGTACTTTTAATTCCAAGCCATCTTAACGCCGTTTTCTCGATCACATGGTGTTTATATTCACTTATTTAAATCAAGTTAAATAACAAACGGCATATCAGTTTGACTTTAGGAAATTTTGAAATCCGGTGAAAAATCTTTTAAAAATATACACTTATTTTTATTTTGCATTACATAATTTTAGTTGTTTTAGCCTACTTTGCCCAATGAATAACAACATGTATGATTCCTATGTGTTAGTTTAGTGTGTTATATTTTGTCTAACCTGACACTTTACACATTTCCGCGTAATTAGAAATTAGATGTCAGATACTTATATCAACATATATTATATCGTCTTTTATTTGTAGTTCCTTAAAAAATTGAATCGACAAGAAAGGGTCGTCGAAGAAGTTAAATTAGTTCTTAAACCGTACTATAATAAAAAGAAAATTACAAAGGATGAATACAAAGATATCATGAGACGAGCTGTACCCAAGGTAATTTGGCCGCTAATATGTTTGAAGAATTGTTAATAGTAATTATATATTTTTAGATATGTCACAATAAATCTGGCGAAATCAATCCTATAAAAATAAGAACTCTCATTGAAGCGTACGTAAAAAAAATCAAACACAGCAAAAAAGTCACTTCATCAAGCTCGTTACCTCAGAAAGTAGTATAATAGCACATATTTAAGGTAATTTTTCATTCTCTATTGTATATAATTTTAGTATTTAAATTGATAAGGAAACTAGTAAATAGGAAATATTTATATTCATGATGTAATTATTTAATTAATATTATTGTAAGGATGTAGATTGGAAATAAATATGTATGAAAGTTTGCTCTCTTGCTACGAAATTGAATATTGCATAAACTCCCTTAACCCAAATTAGTTGTTACAGTAAGATTTAAAATGTTTCAAGAATCTTGGGGTGTGCGATTATTTTAAAAGTAGCCATCTTTATTATTTCTTTTAATATCTATAATAGAATTATCGAAGGGGACCAGAATAACGCCCATTTATGTTTTATGGTTAACTTCCATAAAAATTTTAAATGGGAAGCATTATACTTATTATACAGGGTGTCCCTGGCTGAGCTTACATTAGAAGTTCCTAGAGAACTGAAATATCTTATATAGTAGCCTTTTTGAACGTGGTGTTTCATAATGAGATCTCTCAATTAAAAATATTTTCAATTTATGGACACCGAAAGGAAGTACTGGATGTTCACAGCAAGTTCCTATTTTAAATGGTCACCCCTATTTTTCCTTTTATATTTAAATTCTCTATAAAATTTCACGAATTTTTATACTAACGAAAAAAAATTAGTGATAAAGTTTTGATAGAAACTCTGTACCTAGAATTTTGCGTTTTTGACAAAAAAAAGATTATTTAAAATTTTTAGAGGCAAAAACCAAAGAAAAGTCGTGGAGCTTAAATTTTTAAGTTAGTTGAATAAAAATACCTGAAACACATTCAATTATTTTACTTAACTTAAATCATTAATGAATGTTTTCGCCTTTGCTTCATGTTGCTTAAAATTCAGAAGTAATGAAATAATTTCACGACTTTTTCCAGTTAGCACTCGATGCTGTACTTTACTTTTTAATGGAATAATTAGAAAAATTAGTTTCCAATTAAAAAAAAATAAAAATATTTAAGCAGACCGTAGTAACGACTGGCTAGCGAGAAAGAAAATCTAGGAACTAGTGGGGTTGCAGTCGGAGGGGTTGGACTGAATTAATACACTTTGTTAATAGTCAAGCTTTCGGGATGTAGTACCGTATGATCGAATAAAAACAGCGTCAGCGATGGCTATGAAATGAAGATCGCTGTCATTTTGTATGTAAAATTATATATGGGAAATGTCATCGATCGTCATTTCCAAGCCAACTGGACGCCGTTTTTTTCAGTGGCGGCTCGTCAGGGTAGGCAAGGTAGGCGGCGCCTACCCTAAGATTTTGGCAGAATTTAAGCGATTTTTTAAGTAATTACATTACATTATTTACTATTAATGTTGCCAATACATAAAAATACTGTTAATACACGGAAGTGTGTTTTAATAATCAATATTATTTTAATATTTGTGGTCTTGTATAACATTATTTTATTTTTAACATATTCACTACCGCTGGCGTACGCTGATCGCTGACTGTGCCGCTGCGGTAGAAAACAAAATAATTTTGACCGTTGGAGTGCCGTTCTTCGGCGTTTTCTACATCGCCTACTATCAGAGGTGATGCACGACGTACGGCAGTCTTCTGTCTCTGTCTAACTCATCGAGCGGTAGCGACGCGACGTAAGTCGGGAGTTGTATCATATTAAGGCGGAACTTAGGCGAAATCTCCGGTCGCCTTCGCATGAAGTCGCGGAGGCTCGGTAGGCTTAGATGTAAAGGGGATATTCGGGATATTTCATAAGGAGATATATCACATTTCGTTAAGGGGATATTTCATATGATTCATTATACGTAGTAGTGATGGGCAAAACTGTTATTTTTAGATAACAGTTGAAACTGAAAATTTTTAGAAACGTAGCATTTAAAACTTTTATATGAAAATTCAAAAAAAAACGTTTAAAGCAAATTGGAAACATTTCTTCGGGCTTGTCCGAGATTATTAAAAGTGATATGACTGGTTGTATTTCAGAACACGCCACAGAAATAAAAGAATCCGAAATAAAAAAGCGCGTTATTTTATTCCGTGCAAGAAGACGATACAACAGATATTACAGAAAAGTCTCTGTGCTATTTCAATTCGATATGTTAATAAAAGCGGCAAAAAGTCAAATATCTTTGCGAATTTTATTTTATGAAATATTAGATAACATTGTGATACATTTAGAAATAAGGTTTGCTGATAGGTACTCGTATGTCTCAATTATTTTTATTTATCTCTTGCAGATCCGAAATTTGAAGAATCCTATAAAAATTTTCCATCGCATTTAACATCTAATTTAACAAACTTGTTATATTAATACATTTCCAACGCATTTAATAGTGATTTAACAAACAAAAAATGTTATTGACCAACATAAATTAATGAACAAATTGCAGGTATTAATAATAGATATGATAATTTCGAGCATAAAATAATTTAAGGAGAATAATCCTGGAAATATATTTCCAGAGGCTTTCAAATTGTTTGTTTTGGTTTGTTACTACACCATTTACAAGTACTTGGGTTGAGAGACATTTTTCATGTTTGAAATGCATTAAAATTTATAGCAGAGATTCCATGAAAAATAAACGTTTAGCGCCACTTGCCTTACTTTCAATCTAAAAAGATCTTGTCACAGCTCTTCAACAATCTGATGGTTTTACTGATATAATAATAAATAACACAGGCCGACAAAAAAAAATTTTTTCGATGTAACACAAAGCTCAATAGGATATTGTGGTAGAATGAACCTATCTAATCACGAAAGTGGCAAAAAAAAAGTCGTAACACGTAAGGTTTTTTTGTTACATTAATAAAACATCATTCAATATTACAATATTCAATATATTAAGATAGCTATTCAAAACATGATTTAAGAACTTCTTAAGCCTATATACCGATTATATTTTATAGTTTACACTCCTCAAACATTACTTATACCTAAAAAGTACAAAAACAATCGAAACGAGATCAAAACATAAACAAAAACTTTTACTTTTTCCTTTTATGAGGGACCGCGTCTTCTCTCTTCAAAAACCAACAGTAATCACCCATCATGGCTGGATCCCATCGTCCTTGATAACGATAATAACGAATTTCCATTGTCCTTATGTCTTGATGGAATCTCTCACCTTGCTCATCACTGACAGCACCCATATTTTCAGGGAAAAATGACAAATGAGAATGGAGAAAGTGAATTTTTAAAGACATTCGGGCACCAAGCGATTTATAAGCATCTAAAAGCTCATTAACCAATTGTTCGTAGTTCGCATCCTTATTGTTTCCCAAAATCCCCTCACTACACTAACAAATGAGGTCCATGCTCTGAGTTCCTGCCTGGTAAGCGTGTCTGTGAAATTTGTGTCGTCCAACAATTTCCTGATTTGTGGTCCAATAAAAATACCCTCTTTCAATTTGGCATCACTCAACTGGGGAAAGACTTGCCTTAGGTATTTAAATCCATCACCTTCTTTATTCATAGCTTTCACGAAGTTTTTCATGAGGCCAAGTTTGATATGAAGAGGAGGCAGGAGGACGTCTTTGGGGTCTACAAGAGGGATATACTTCACTCACTTCTTTCTGGCCAAATTTTCTGTACATAATGATGATTTACTGCACGACTGTCCCACAAACAAAGAAAACAGCAATATTTTGTAAATCCTCCCTGAAGTCCCACTAAAATTCCTATAACTTTCAAGTCCCCACATATCTGCCATTTATACCTGTTGTAGTTGATTCTATCTAAAAGCATGCGCATATTTTCATAAGTTTCCTTCATTGTCACTGAATGGGCAACTGGTATAGAGGGTTTTTAAATTTCCGTTATGCAATAACACAGCTTTTAGGCTATATTTCGACGAATCTATGAATAAGCGCCACTCACAGGGAGAATGTTCTATAGAAAGTTCCTGCATTAAGCCATCGATATCAGTACATGCACACAACGAATCCTCCATACTGTAGAATGCAGAGAACGGAGCATTTCTTTTCTAAAAGTGGTGATTTTTGTTTCATTGGCTAACAGATTCCATTCCTTAAGCCGGGATCCAAGAAGTTCTGACTGCTGCTTTGATAACCCCAAGTCACGCACTAAGTCATTCAACTCGCTTTGAACAATCAAATGTGGCTTGTCGGAACCGCCCTCTGGGGTAAAGGTAGGATCAGTACACTGGTCTCCAGAGCTGTTTGATTCAATATCTTCCTTATCTTCCAAAACAATACCTTGCCAGTCTAAGGGCGCGATCGGCACTGGGAGATCTGCACCATGAAGAACAGGTCGTATGGCAGACGGCAAATTGGGATACTCGATCTTGTGCTTTTGTTTTTGGAAAAACCTTCAGTTTTCGTCAGGCAAAAATAGCAATCGTCAAAATGGTTAGTTGGTTCTCGCCATACCATTGGAACCGCAAATGGCATTTTTTCCTCTTCCCTTTCATCCACTGCACAAGCGACACGCTACAAGTAACGCAGCACACATGAGGAGCCCACTGCTTGTCTTGATCTCCAACCAAAACTCCAAAATACTTGAAGTAGGCTTTCTTCACATTTTCAGAAAATGGTCTGGCTTGTGATTGCACCATAAATTCTCCACAAATGTAACAAAATCGATCAGGAGACACTTTACAACTGCGGCGCGTTTGACTTGACATTTTCGTACTATTTATCTACACGCATAGAACAACTCACGTCGAAAATCAACTGAAAACTGAACTCTCTTATGTTTTTCACAATATATTATAGTGCACAAAATGCGTCCCTTTCAATCATCCCATCATAAAATTTACCTGTATGTAAACGAATCTACCTAGACTTAATACCTGACATCTATAAAATTGACTACCTGCAAAAAAGAGGCGTAATTAGGCAACTGAAAAGTGGTACGTGTAGGAGCTTCAGGAGTATTTTTTCTGTTATTAGAAGCATATTTTTATGAAGAAATTCTGCAACTGACTCGTGTTACAAAAATCATGTCGGCCTGTGTAATTTTTCTTTGTTAAGAGACCGACTCATCAATTTAATATATAAAACATAATTATTCTTTCTCTAAATACCGTATGATCGAAAAAAAAACGGCGTCCAGTTGGCTGGGAAATGACGATCGATGACATTTCCCATATAAATTTACATATAAAGTGACAGCGATCTTCATTTCATAGCCATCGTTGACGCCGTTTTTATTCGATCATACGGTACTACCA